CTTACAGACCGACGTTATTTTTGGCGCTAATCCTAAATATGCGATTTGTTTTGGTTGAAAATATAATTTTTACAAGAAAAATTGCTGAACATTGGTAAAAAGAAAAGGCCAGTTTTACTTACGTGAACGAAACCTTCTACATTTGAAATATATTCACAGCTTTTTTTCTTGGCAAATTTTACATGGATTCATAACTTTTGAAAAACTCTACAGATTAGCATTGAAATCGGAGTGAGCAAACTTTGCTCCTGTGCATATGGTAGTTTATACCAAGTGTTCGCGTCATATTTTAATGATAGTCAGCAACTATTTCAACAAAATTCGTTTTTTCTATATTTCCAATAAATGATTGTTATATAGGCTTTTCAAGTATTTTTCGTAGGCTATCTATGATATATAATTCGTTTAGTTTTCATTAAGTAATAAGTACATATGTCAAGGAACACGTGTAAATTTTGTTAATCAGAATTCTCCTATATAATACATAGAAAATTAAAAATGTTATCGGGTCCTAAGTTTGTAAATATTCAGTTAAATCATTTCAAAACGTAAGGCATAGTTTCCATCAACATGCTCTTTATTTCTATACAAAGTAACTAATAAAATTCAATTGGGTCGATTTTCTTAGAAACCGTCATCCGTCCTGTGGTTATTAGCCAACGTGGGTTGATCGGGATGTGAGTGTAGATGTGAGTCAGTATTCAATGCAAAGGCACACTCCACACTCTACCTACCCACACGCACCCATATTCGCACCCACGCCCACATCCTCTATTGACCACTGAGTATGTTTTGTTCCGCATTGAAAAATGTAATGGTTGCTTAGTTTTATAAACATCTCTATCATTCGTTTATATTTATTTTCTTAGCAATTCTTTTAGAAAAAAAATGAGCGAATATCATATAAAATGCCATATTTGCGGTTGTATTTTCAACAGTAGCAAGCAACTGAGTCAACATTTGCAGTCCTGTACAGTTACATTAAATAAGTAAGTATGTTTTGGGTGAAATGATTTTTTTCAAATGTCAGATTGTTGAAAAATTTTCGTCGAACAACATTTTGTCGAAGCAAACGGCACAACCACAGCGTGCGTGTTCTGAAATCTTCACCCATTTTCGAATTTTTTGTCACTGTAATAATGCAAAATTGAAATTCGTACTGAAACGAAATGATGTACTTATTCATTTTGTGTGCAAAATTACATATTGTCTACATAGGTAGACTAGACGAAGAAGAAGAACGAGAGAAACAGAAGTAACAGTGGTGAGGCCTGCTCGACAAAATATTATTCGACTATGTGTCTTGGACAAAAACCATGCAGTTCATTTAAATGATATTGAATCCCGTGCATTGTATTTACTGAAGTTACAAAACGGCAAAAGTAAAAGATCGCAAAATAAAAACCCTGTAGATCCTGGAGAGAATTTTTAAAACTTTTTCATAATCAGAATGTATTACGGCACACCGGCATGTTACACAAAAGTGATGGGAAAGGCAAGATCTATGACTAAACGAGAGTTGGATTTTCGACATTCTGCTTTCGACATTTTGTTTTTCGATTGTTGCCACTTTCAAGATCTAGGAATAAATGCATATCTCTTACGGCTGCTCCATTATCATGCTTTCAAAAGGCTAACAGCTTTTCATTGGTTCATCCACCGAGTCCAATGTTTGCTCAAGTCATATCGGTAGAAGATCTTTCTACCTACAGTGACTTCAGACTACCAGAGTTCTATAGGGAAATGGAACCATCAGAACAAGTGGTCCAATTCTTTCCAGTTGTTCGCAAAGGCTTCAACTATCTGAAGTATTGCACCGGTTGGTTGTCCGAGAATGAGAAGCCAAAAAGCATTAGTCATTGCTTCCGACGATACACACAGGAAAGAGATTGGTTTTGCACGAAAATCAATATGGCACTGGCCGGTGATTTGCCGACATTAAAAGAGCACAGCCAGTACATAAAACAATTGAAATACTGTATTGGTTTCTCCAAAATGAACTTTAATGGCACCGTTTTCAGAGGTTAACCGTACTGAACTGAACTATTTTGTTTCAATAAAGGCTTTCACATTTTCTAAATAGGTCAAGACATGACAAAAGGTGAAATTGTTGAGTATGAACAGAAAGGAATCTTTTTCATTCCAAGTTTTACATCCACATCGAAATCAGAAACCAAGGCTTTCGATAAAAATGTCCTGATTCAAATTGAAATCCCACATGAATGGTCGAAGTTTTGCGCAGAAATCACAGATGAATTCACAAAATATGACGAAGAAGAAATATTACTCTCCTGCTATAATTTGTATGAACATGTTCGAACCGAACGGTCCAACGGAAAACGAATTCTCAAACTACAACTGCTTAACTATGAAGCCCATTTTGACTATAGCACAAACACAATTCTACATTAATTGCAAGTTCATTGAAAACAGATCGACCTATCTCTTAAAAAAAAGACAAATTGAATCTGCTAATCTCAACTTTTACTTTTCAAGAATCAGTTTTTTCTCGAAATAATGGAAATAATAATTGATATGCTAAATAAAATAATCAATAAGGAGAAATGCAGAGATAACTTCGCAGACGCGTTTCGTATCTTTTGTAAGATAGTACTCTCCAGGGTCAGAGATGGGATAGGGGTGGAGTGTATTTGCAGAGGTGGGAATTGGTTCAAGTCATTCATACGACGTGTTTCTCGTCGGGTTGTTTCAAAAAGATAGCTTGAAAAATTTTTTTCTTTTCACAGTTAGCACCATTGGAAAGGAAGAGAATGGTATTGGTGAGGGTGTGGGTGTGGGTGTGGGTGTGGGTGTGGGTGTGGGTGTGGGTATGGGTGTGGGTGTGGGTGTGGGTGTGGGTGTGGGGTGTGGGTGGGAGTATGGGTGTGAGTTTAAAAAACTTCAGGCACCCACACCCAGCACCATACCCAACACAGACTCACACCTAGGACGTGGGGTATGACTGTGACTGTGGCTATGGATGGATGTGGGTATAGTGGGGTATAGGTGTGGGTTCGGGTTTGAGTTTAGATATAAACTTCTGGTACTCACATCTCATCCGCACCCACACCCAGCATCCGTACCCAGCACCGACCCACACTTAGGGTGTAGGAGTGTGGGTGTGGGTGTGGGGTATGGGTGTGAGTTTAAGCAAAAACTTCAGACACCCACATCGCACCCACACCCACACCCACACCCTATATCTACAACCAATCCTGATGTGTGTTTATTAGGCAGCTATTTTAAATGATCGCAATAGTTGACTGTTAGAATCAAATTGATATAGCTATGCACTATTATCTACTCTATTTTCACCTCTGATCTTTTCCAAAGACTGATTTTAGATACTTTTTTTAACGAAAGCACTGATTTTTATATATTTATTGTTATATTGCTATATCATGGCATTCATATTGGGTGAACCATCGCTATTCTTGCACAATAGTAACCTAAATTAATCAGAGTGAACTTGGATCGTTCTTTCTATGAAATCTGCTGATAATTGCTAAACTAAATGTTTCTAACCAACAACATATAAAAGTATAAGTGATAACTATAAAATCAGTATACGGTCAAATGTCATACCATTCTTAAAAACTATGCCAAAAGGATATAGATAGCTTAATTTCTAAATGTTTTGTTAGGTTATAATTTAAGTAAGAAATATTTCTTGCAGACTTATATGGACTCTCGGTCCTCATTTATTTGTAAAAAATGTTGATGGATTAGTTACAATTACAATGGTCTTAAGTCTCTTTCATACTACCTAATGTCGAATCATATAAAACTGATTAGATTCAAAGAAGTTTTTCATAGATATATTAAAGGGAAAACATTTTCAGCGTGGGGTGCGGGTGGATACGAGTGTTGTTCCTTTCTTCAGACACATTCACATCCACAGTCACAACCACCCACATCAACACCCAGACCCAGACCCAAACACATACCCACTCACATTCATACACATGCTCACTCACACTCTCACACCTACACCCACATTCACCCACTCTTCTCTGTTCCTTGCTCATTTTAGTGATGTCTGATATTCCAGTCGATGCTCAATGGGAACAGAATGGAGTCACCATTGCTGGAAACCATGGATCTGGCGGTACCATCAATCAATTAGGGTTTCCCACGGGTCTTTTCTTTGATAATACCCAAAGGATGGTCATTGCTGACTCCGACAACAATAGCATCATCGAATGGAATATGAATAATATGAAGCTAGAAGTGGTAGCTGGTGGCAATAGCGTAGGAAATGGATCGAATCAATTGAATAGGCCGACCGATGTGTTGATTGACAAAGCGACGAATAGTCTCATTATTAGTGATCAGGGTAATAAACGAGTTGTACGATGGTATCGTCGTAGTGGTACAACACAAGGAGAAATTCTTCATGACAACATAGACGGTTAGGGATTGGCTATGGATGAACAGGAATGTCTCTACGTTTGTAACCATGGAAAACATGAAGTAAGACGATATCGCATAGGAGACAAGAATGGAAGTGTCGTGGTTGATGGCAATAGTCAACGTAATAACCTCAACCAGATCAACCATCCAACCTACATCTTTGTCGATCGAGAACAGGCGATTTACGTATCACACAACTACAATCACCGTGTGATGAAATGGAATAAAAACGCAACAGGAGGAAGCATCGTCGCTGGAGGTCATGGTCAAGGAAATGCTCTGAAACAGTTAAATTATCCTGACCAACTTATTGTTGATATATCGGGAACTCTTTATATGGCGGACTCCCAGAATGATCGAGTGATTCGTTGGACTAAACAAGTCGAATATGGTGCTGCTATCGTGGGTGGAAATGGACACGGAGGACGAGCAAATCAGCTCAAGCGGCCTAGAGGTTTATCTTTCGATCGTGATAACATTCTGTGTTGCGGATACTAACAATAATCGTGTTCAGCAATTTTATTTCAAAAACACTCAACAATGATGATTACATTTTTTTTTGTTATGCAGCGTGTGTAGCGGTGTGAGTGAGAGCGGATATCAGTGGTTGCGGATGGGTGTGAGCATGGATTTGAATATGAATGGATTTGGATTTGGGTGTGGGCGTGGATCTGTGGTTAGCCACATGGTGGGGTGTGTTATAGTTACCACAATACCGTAGGTATTTCGATGTTGCTTCTGGCTGATCAAATATTCGGAGCGTGGAAGTCTGAAGATGTTGGTATGTTAAATGTTGGATGTACATGTTCATGTTGTCGTTGGATTGTGTATGATGATTATCTGAAATAAAAAGGAATAAGGTTGAAAGTTGCAAGTTTTGATTTTTTTATGTAGTGGTAAACGAAGCATGTATTTGGAAGAAAACAAATGGGTGTATTTTACATTCTACTATGAAGAAGCACTATGGGAGTGTCTACTATGAAAGGTTGGTGTTATGGAGTATTAATGTTCGAATGATGTAGTTTGTAGCTGATTTGATAGTGTAAGTAATTTTTGTTCTATGTCATATTGTGTGCGTTGTACGATGTTGGTTTGACGACTGTCAATTATTTTGATAATTTTGTCGAAGAGTGAAATATTTTTATGGTTACATCTTGTGTTTAGCAGTTTATTTGTCTGGTCCAAAGCTATTCGTGCATATGTTTGTGCCATTTCTTCAGCTTTAGTCAGAGTTTGGATACCTAAGTCGTGGATTGATAGTTGTTGTGTGTTAAATACTATTTGTGTTAATATGTTATTTATATGCGGTAATTCTATATCCAGAAAAGTATATGATATTGGGAGTGTTTGATTTGGCAACCAATTTTTAAACATTGCAATTTCGTATCTGATTGTTTGTTGGTCATGAATAGCTTTCCATATGATTTTTGCTGAATGGATCTAGAGAGACTAATAAATAGAGCAGATACTTTCTAAGCAAATCTTCACTGACCTGTGTTTGCTTGGACTTTAATTGATAAAAATCGTTTACTAATTGATGTTCTTTGGCATCGAATAGTAGCATAGTTCTGCGTCTTTGAAGTTCAATCCGTAATTGATATTGATCTTTATAAATGAGATTATTTATCATATTCATGATTTTAGTCACATCAATAAGGTTATGTGCTTGTTTGATATATTCATTAATATCATTTTGGATCTGTTTAAATTGATGTTGATATTTCTGTTGACGTTGTTTAATTAACATTTTCGATCGACCATATGTGTGGCACATTGAATTAGCATTGGTCATTTTTTTCGACACTCGTCCATTCCAAATTACCTTCTCTTATACCAAGTTCATAGTAGTAAGTTCATTGTTCATTTTGTAATTTTGAAAAATTTAATTTATTCACGAGTTGAGTAAGTTGACGAATAAATATGAATAGTTCTTGATTTTCCAATAATTCAATTAATGCACTTGTATGAATATCTTCTGATGTTGATGTTAATAACATTTCTTTAAACTTAATGTTAGATATTGTCAAATAATCAGATAACAATAATGTTGGATCGGCACTTGATGCAATATCCAAAGGATTTGATTTCTTTGTCAGCGGCGAGAGTGTGGGTGTGGGTGTCTTATCTCCATATACATCCGCATCCTTATCAACACCCACACCCACACCCATCTGAAAGAGATGAATTTATGTTAGGTATGATTCAATGTTACTTATTTTACCTTTACCAATCTTTTTTATTTCGTGTGTTAAAACAAAAGAAAATGCAAAGTAATAATACCCTACAGAAAGACAACAAGACACCAGTATCATTACATTCTTAAAACATCGAATCCTGCAATTCTATTAAGTAGGTGCGTGAGTGCTACCGTAGATATGTGACAATATCATATCGAGATACCACCCATATCTGCACCTCACAATCATAGCCACATCCCACACTCTCACCAGTCCTTCGCTCTACATGATTGAAAGAGATATATTTGAGATCTTCTTTCTCCTTGATAATATGGTTTGTAAAGCAATACCTAACTGAAATAGTTTGTAGATTAAGAAACTGATCGAAATAATATCTCGAAGTAATAATTGTTTGATTGTTGAAATGATTATGATGGCATTTCAGAAACTCATATTTTTAAAATTCGAATAGAAATATGCGAAATTCATTCTTAAAAGATTTTCTATTTGTGCTTATTCTCAAGTACCATCAACATGATGATTTCACAGTAGACTCTCGTCAACCTTTCGATAGTACAAATCATTCAACGTATCTGGACGAAAAGTCGGTAACTAATTATTTGTTTATGTTCTTTATTTTTTGTTTTGTGAACAAAACGAGTGCAGATATGAATATTAAAAATAAAAAATAAAAAAGTGTTTAATGCATACAAGGAGGGCGACCATAAGATGTGTTACATGGATTAACGCCCATAACAGGTGAACCAGCTAGGAAGCGCTGTCGGTGCATCATTACGGGCGATCCAGTAACCCAACGTTCGGTATGACACACTGAATTTTCTACTAAAGCTGGACTAGGAGGAGGTGATGGAACAGGAACACCAACAGGCACAAAACATGGAACTTGCGAAGGAATCGGAACAGGAATAGGAACTTGAACCGGAGGTGAAGGAACTGGCACTCCTATAGGAACAGGCACTGGCCGATCGACAGGTACTGCTGATGGAATGGGTACAGGTACAAGTACAGGTACAGGTACAGGTACAGGTACAGGTCGATCAACAGGTACTGGTCTTGATACTTCAACAGGATATGGTTGAGGTACAGGACGATCGACAGGAAGAGGAACAGGAACTGGTTGTTGAATATAACGTGGTGGTGGAGCAGGAATCAAATCAACTTGTCGTCGTTCAGCAATATAGTAATCTGGAGCATATCCTATATGACCATGAACGTTACCATATGGTGTAGTTGGTAATGGACCATGACATACTCCTCTATAATCATAATTCATATGATGACTTATTCCAGGTCCATAAGGTGGTCTGGTCATACCACCAGCATACAGATCGCACATTGGAGGTCTTTGATAACCATAACAGGCACCAGAACTAGCAGGTATATTATTCAAAGAATAATCTAATGCTGATCCAGAATTCAAGCACATATAATCTGAATCTACTCTCTCTAGATTACAATTGTCGTCGCCACCAGTTGAGAGACGTCGTTCAAGACGTTCACCGAACCGTGATAAAGCGTCAACAGTTTTTGTAACGATTCGATTCATCGATGACTTGTTGTGTTTGTTGTAATCTTTATTTATTTGCTTTCATTAACGCTAATGACTGCTTCGTTTTATATACGAAAGTAAGTGAATAATGCATGAATAGTACAGGTTTGTAGGTGGTGAGGATGAAGAACGTGAAAAAAGAAACAGACTTTGAAGCGTGACGAAAATCATATGAATTACTCATTCTCTTATCATCTGATTAAATATTATTTTATAGAATGATGAAACATTTTTAAAGTAAGTAAGAATGAAAAATTGATCGAATCATGTGATATGATTAAGCAAGCGTGTCCTCTCATTTGCGAACATAGAATCGAAACTAAAAATCTATTAAATTCAATTTCAGTTGTATTTTAAATTTAATTTACTCAAATATTAAATAATCTTAAGTCTAAAACTTTCGGTTAAAAATTTTTAAAAACATTTACTGAGATGAATTTTAAGATAAATTTAAATTTCAGATATATTTTTCAAATTGTTGAAATTTATAGAGTTCGCTAAAGGCTGAGTTTCATTATATCAGTTGAACTACCTGTAATTTATAGAGTGCGCTAAAATATAATACTGCTTTATTGTTCTTAATTAACTGTAACTTTCTATAGAGTTTACCAGAGATAATTGTTACTATGAAGGCCATCAGCTGTTCTTGATTTTCAACACATCAAATAATTACGATAATACAATGGAATCGAACATTGAATGGATATAGTTGATTGAAATGCAAAAGTATCTATATATAAATATCACAAATACAAGAAATGATGTTCTAAACAAGACGGCTCAGAAATATAAATGTTACCGAGCGTCTTCTCTTGGCGAACTTAGTTCGATTCGCCAATATCATAGTTGGAACAAATATCAAATTATCACAAGTTACGATACAGTTTCCTAAAAAACTCGCTTTGTCTTCTTCTGAATTCGTTTTTAGTTGAACCTAAGTCGACGACTCTTGCTCGCTTACCATGAGTATCAGTTTATCAGTAGCAAAAGAGAATAAAAACGGCTAGTAAATTCTATTGTTGACTTCCACTGAAATTGATGGGAACTAGATTCAAAGGAAGATTTTGGTTCAACTAAAATCTAACGTCCTCCATAAATTGTGGTCACTATCTGAATTTGAAAAAGTTTTTATCGTCAAAAAATTAGGGATCTCTACAAATTGCAGCATGTTTAGTAAAAAAGAAAGAAATTTTAATAAAAATCTTTTAAACAATTCACTTTTATTATTCGTACGCAATAACCGAATTTTTAAAAGTTGAATTTATATTTGAATCGTTTTACAAAAAGTTAATCAAAGTATCAGATTTAAAACAAACGAAATTTTAAAAATTTTGATTCACTTAAAATTTATTTTCTTCATGTTTGCAAATGAGAAGTGGCCATTCGAATTTGGTTGCTTTGTCGTAGGATGTAATCCGACAAATCATTTCTTTTTCTAGATTTCATCCACGTGATTAGCTCAGTTTCATTTTGTCCTATGAACGTAATATAAAACGTTCACACAAAAAAAAGTCTACATTATTAGAATAAAAATCAATTGCATAATTTTATATCTTTTTGCATTAAAAAGGTCTGAATTCGAGTTTGATACACATTCACAACAGCTTTTATAAATATATCAAAATCTTCATGAGCACTTCGATGACTAACGATAAATATGCGTATATAGAACCGATTTTGGATATATGTTGATGATGGGAATGCGATACCCGATGTATGAATATCTATAAGGAGTTGATTATTGAACTTATCAATCAATTCATAATCGGTTTTATCAAATTCTTCGGGTTCAAATTGAAAGTTAACAATATTTTATGGAATAGGACGAACAATATGAATAATATTCTCATATTCTTCTTATAATGATAGGGTATGGGGTGTGGGTATGAGTGTGGGTGTGGATGTAGGTGGGGGTGTGTGCTGGTGTTGGTGATGCGAGTTTGAGTGTCAATTTTGATTGCTAGCCTTCTCAACAGTTGTATGTATACCCACACCCACACCCACACCCACACCCTCTATGGTAAGATGAAAAGTGAAGAGCAGTGATTGATGTACGAGTGAAATTAAATTTAGTGCGTGTTTTCATCAAATTAATAATTAATGATTAACAAGCAAATAAAGTGTTGGAATTTATGTTCAATGCCAGGGTCGCCAATTGTTAAAATGTACCTAAGTATTAATTTTTCTTATTCCTTCTGTTTTACTGATCACACGCTAAAAATTATACACACCAAAGAAAAAAGTTAAAGACGGGGCATGCATATAAAAAAGAAAAGACAAAAAAAACAATAAATAGAAGAAAACACAAGAAGATATACAGTGAAGTGCAAAAATAATTGCCGTTAGTATTTGATAAAGTTACTCTACTGAACATGATGAATATTGAAAGTTCTTTTATAAATAGATTATACGTAGACNTGCACATCTCTATTAGAGCGCCATTTTTCGAGATCACACACTACATCTCGATATACTCTTTGAAACATAATTCAATATCTCCAAAAAACATTGTTGTATAGAATGAGAAATTCTACCATAGTCGCTCCATTATTTGCCTATATCTACAACCAATTTTGATTTGTGTTTCGTAGGCACCTATTTTAAATGATTGCAATAGTTGACTGTTCAAATCGAATTGATAGAACTATGAACTATTATCTACTCTATTTTCACCTCTGATCTTTCCCAAAGACTGTGTTTAGATACTTTTTTAACAAAAGCACTGATTTTTATATATTTATTGCCATATCGCTATATCATGATATAAATGTTGAGTGAACCATCGCTATTCTTGCATAATAGTAACCTAGATGAATCAGCGTGAACTTGGGTCGTTCTTTCTAAGAAATCTGCTGATAAGTGCTAAACTAAATGTTTCTAATCAATAACATATAAAAGTATAAGTGATAGCTATAAAAATCAGTATACGTTCAAATGTCATATCATTCTTAAAAACTATACCAAAAGAATATAGATAGCTTAATTTCTAAATGCTTTCTTAAGTTATAATTTAAGTAAGAAATATTTCTTGTAGACTTATTCGAACTCTCGGTCCTCATTTATTTGTAAAGAATGTTGATGGATTATTTACAATGGTCTCAAGTCTCTTCCACATTACCTAGTTTCGAATCATATAATATTGATTAGATTCAAAGAAGTTTTCCATGGATATATTAAAGTGAAAACATTTTCGGTGTAGGGTGAGTGGATGTAGGTGCTGTCCTTTTCTTCAGACACATTCGCATTCCCAGCCACAACTACCCACATCAACACCCAGACCCAAACACATACCCACCCACACACACATACGCTGATATCAGACTCTCATACCCACACTCGTCTATTCGAAAACTACAATGACGATAAACTCTTTTGAGTTCCTTGTTCATTTTAGTGATGCCTGATATTCCAGTCGATGCCCAATGGGAACAGAATGGAATCACCATTGGTGGAGACCATGGATGGGGCGGTACCATCAATCAATTACGGTTTCCCAAGGATCTTTTCTTTGATAATACTCGAACATTGCTCATTGCTGACTCCTACAACAATCGTATCATTCAATGGAGCATGAATAATAGGAAGTTAGAAGTGGTAGCTGGTGGCAATGGCGCAGGAAATGGATTGAATCAATTGAATGAGCCGACCGATGTGTTGATTGACAAAACAACGAATAGTCTCGTTATTAATGATCTGGGTAATAAACGAGTTGTACGATGGTCTCGCCGTAGTGGTACAATACAAGGAGAAATTCTTCTTGACAACATAGATGGTCATGGATGAACAGGGATGTCTCTACGTCTCTAATCATGAAAAACATGAAGTAAGACGATATCGAATAGGAGACAAGAATGGAAGTGTTGTGGCTGGTGGCAATGGTCAAGGTGATAAATTCAATCAACTCAACCATCCAAACTATATCTTTGTTGATCCACAACAGACTATCTATGTGTCAGACAACTACAATCATCGTGTGATGAAATGGAATAAAAACTCAACAGAAGGAATCATCGTCGCTGGAGGTAATGGTCAAGGAAATAATATGACACAGTTAAATTATCCCGACCAACTTATCGTTGATATATCGGGAACTCTTTATGTGGCGGACTCGCAGAATAATCGAGTGATTCGTTGGACTAAACAAGCCACATATGGCACTGTTATCGTGGGTGAAAATGGACACGGAGGAGGAGCAAATCAGCTCAAGTGGCCCAGAGGTTTATCTTTCGATCGTGATAACAATCTCTGTGTTTCCGATACTCACAATAATCGTGTTCAACAATTCTATTTCAAAAACACTCAAAAATGATGATTACATTGTTTTTTTGTTGTTACGCAGCATGCGTAACGGTGTGAGTGAGGGCGGATATGAGCGGTTGGGGATGGATGTGAACATGGGTTTGGATATGAATGAATTTGGATTTGGGTATGGGCGTGGATCTTTGGTTAGCCACACCGAAACCCGCACACCCACACCATTACTTCGTTAAGAATAAATAGAAAATATTAATAATAATTAATAAGTGGAATTTTTCGGGCAAATCCGCTGCCCAATTTTGATACGTTTTAGGCATCCTTTATTCGTCTGCTCTATCCAAACTTCAACACGTTGACCCAAACGTGCAAATTTCTCCTATCAAACAGGAAACGGAAAATTCCAAAAAAAGAAAAAAAAACCATCGATTATTACCACAAATTTAATAATTTCTTTTTTGTTTTCAAAACTAATCTAACCATAGATAATCATCGACTAGAACTACAACTACAATGAAATGTTTCTGATATACAACGGTAAGCACTATTTTCTTCATACCTGAATCATCATTACAATCATCCATTCATCTTCAAAACAAAAGCTCATATAAAAACAAATATTTGAAAAATGTCTTGTA